TTCTGACTTCAGCTCAGGTCATGACCTCACAGTCTGTAGGTTTGAGCCCTGCATCCAGCTCTGTGCTGACAGCTCTGAGCCTGGAGCCTGCTTCAGATTCTGGATCTCCCTCTCTCTCTTACCCTACTCCAACTCGCACTCTGTCTCTCTCTCAAAATAAAATAAAGACATAAAAAAACAGTATATAGTGCGTCCAGCATCAGCATTTATATAAATTTTTCTACTGGTTTGAAGTTTTACTGTAACATACTTCACATTCTGATTACACTAAAGTCTGTTCCTGACATTTTTATTCAGATTCTAACTGATTTGGTGCTAATCACATGTTGTTTTAGTTATCATGGCTTTGTTTTAAAATCAAGTATTCAGGAGTGCCTGCATATCTTACTCTTCTTTGAAAAAAGAAACGAATGCCATTCTCCCTTTTTTTGTTCTTCCATCACACTTTTGTATGACTTTAAGTTCTAAAACTATTTTGAAGTTACAGAATGGAACTGACGTAAATCTTTAAATTAATAGGATAAAATTAGCATCTTTACAATATTCATATTTCCCATTCTGCAACATGACATAATTTATTTAATCAACAGGTTCTTGTTCATTTTTATTAGTTTATGAATATCCAGAAAATATTTTTTTTTTTAATTAAGTAGGCTCTATGCCCAACACATGGAGCTAAAACTCATGACCCTGAAATCAAGAGCTGCACAGTCCACTGACTGAGCCAGCTGTGTACGCCCTGAACATCTAGAAAATATTTTTGAGAGACTTTCATGGACCAGGCAATGAGTTAAGGCAATGAGTTAATTTACTCCTAGGTAAAATTTTGCTACTAATGTTTATGCAAACTGTTTTCTAGAATGTTTTGTGATCATTGTTGATAAATAACATAGGTCTTTATATGCATTTTAAACATATATAATTTCTTGTTAACTTTTAATACTTTTGAGTTCTTTCAAGTTATCTACAAACAATGTTAATTTTGACCATTCTTTCAAATATTGTAGAGATCATGCGTGACCTGAGCAGAAACCAAGAGTCGGATACTTACCTGACTGAGACACCTAGGAACCCCAAATTTGTATTTCTTCATAGCATTTGGTAATGAATTTCAGAATAGGATAATATATTAGTAAGTATAGAATTAATCATTCATTCAAATTTTTATTATTTTATGTATGTGTTTTCTCTATTTTACTTGATTTTTAATTATGAGAACTTTATTTCATTTTCTTTCATTAGACTTTTCAAGGAAGCAACTTTTGGTATTAATCTATCATTTTTGTGATGGTTTTTCAAACTGTTAAATTTTTCCCTTTGCCTTATTACTTATGCCACGTCTTCCTGAATAGTTATTTTGTGCACTTAAAAATATTTTAAATAGGACACTTAATTATTTCATTTTCTTTCTTCCTATTTTAATACCGAAGATGTTTAAGGGATGAATTTTCTAATTATATGTATGGATGCATCACCTAAATTTGGAGTGTTTGTTCAAAATGACATAATTTTTTAATTTCTAAAAATAGATTTCATTTCTGATCATGAGCTACCAGCCTGATTGGTACAATAAATTTTTCAAATTCCTTTTTGTGTTATAAATTACACTGGTGGCTCGCAGTGAATCATGCTCCCAGTATTGAAGCCTGGGTAGTTCTCTCCCATACTGATTGATTCCAGGCTTGTACATGAGACTTTGCCCATGCAACAATGTGCATGATAGGAACAGAAGGTTGACAAGCATTTGTACACTGGGACTGATCTTCTTGGAATTCAGTCTCCATGCTCTTCTCCTGAAGGGAGAGGACACATGGAAATACATTCTCTGAAGGACAAGACACCACATGGAGAGCAAAGGTAGCCTGGTTACCCTCTCAGCTTAAAGCAGCTGAGAATCAATCAAAAGAATCATAAAAAATAATAAATGCTGTTATTCTAAGCCAGTAAGTGTGGAGAGTGTTTGTTATGGAACAATAGAAAACAGAATTTTTTTCTGTTTAAACTCGATCTGACTCAATGACATTTTTCTATTTAGCCAAGATTCAGAGAAGACTGTTGAGAAGGAAGAGGCATGTCTCCATGTATCAAAGATGCCACCCCACCAAGAAGACAGTAATGTCTACAGCTAAATGTGCCTTGGAAAGGCTGTTTTTCCTCTCTTGTTTTCTGGTGCGAATGAATCCTTGCATCATTTCAGTATCATTTTGTTACTGATCCAATAGAAACATAGGACATAGGACATGATTTATTAAATATCAATATTCTCAAAGTCCTCATATGTAATTTCTAAATCATATCTACTTTTGAAAATACAAGGCATCATGCACAACATTTAACCAATGGTGATTAATCTGTCGTGAGTTACAGACCTTTTTAAATAAATGAGAAATTTGTGTGCCCTCTCCTCAGAAAATTACTTCACAAAGAAATTATTACAATATCAGCAGTTTCACGGACTCATTAAGGAAAATATGTAGTGATTTTCAAATACAGTTTAGCCAACTAATCTGTCCTCAGATAAAAGCTTACTGTGAAGCAACAAAAACAGAGCAACCATGGTTGAAGCAACAGTAGTGCCTGACAACCCACCTGTTGCCTTCATTCTTCATTTACCTACCGCTCTGCCACATCCCTCCACAGAGTGTAGTTTGTAAATCATTGTCTTAAAATGACACGATAAAATTAAATACCTAGAAGAGAGATAAATAAACATGAAGGGGCTGAAGTAAGGGAATTTCTGGCACAAACTAAGAGCAAGTATAAAATAAGGAGAGGCTGGATTCATTGGAGTAAAGGTAAAAGAAAATACTGTGTGAATCACTGTGGCCGGAGGTACAACATGAGACAGAAAATTACCTGCTGCTTTGAAAGAAGTTGGATGGCTACTTCAACTAATTTTATGTGTCAACTTGGCTAAACCATGGACTGCCCAGATATTTGGTCATACTTTTTCTGGATATTTCTGTGAGGGTGGTTTTGGAGGAGATTCACATTTAAATTGTTAGACTAAGTAAAGCAGTTGAACTCATCCAGTCAGTTGAAGGTTTAAATGGAAGAAAAGGCTGGCCCTCCCAGAGTATGAAAGATTTCTGCCTGACAATCTTCAAACCGGGAACTTATCTCTTCATGGCGTTTTACTGGGCGGGGGGTGTTTTCTGTGGGGTTCTTTTTGGTGAAAAAATTTATGTTTAGATTTAGCCAGCTTGGACACAGTTTAGATGATCCCAATTTTGTTGGCAACACAGTCAGGAGCCAGTCCAACATCTGCCTTCTTATCTCCAGGGGGCCTGATTAGAGTGTTGACCTTGGCCATTTCAATGTCATAGAGCTTCTTCACAGTCTGTTTGATCTGGTGCTTGTTGGATTTGACATCCACAATGAACACAAGTTTGTAGCTAGCTGTCTCCTATTTTCTTCATGGCCGACTCAATAGGGGGAACTTGATGATGCCATAGTGGTCAAGCTTATTTCTCCTGGAGACACTTTTTCGAGGATATTTGGGCTACCATCTTAGATGCAGTGTCTCTGAAGGAATGTAGGTGACAGGCAGATCTCTCTCTCTCTCTCTCTCTCTCTCTCTCTCTCTCTGTGAGTGTGTGTGACTGTGGACGACTTTCAGTACTGCTTTCTTGGCCTTCAAAGCCTTTGCTTTAGCTTCAGCTTTAGGAGGGGCTGGTGCTTCCTTCTTTGCCTTCAGCACCATCTTGAAAGCCACTCTTCCTGGTTTTATGGAGGCTTCCAGACTTTGGACTGAAATTACGGCATGGGCTTTACAGATTTTGGATTTGCCAGCTTCTATAATCTCATGTGCCAATTTCTTATCATAAATTCCTTGTATATACTACATACTATATACATGCAGATATAAAATAAAGAGCCCTGGAGAACCCCAATACGATCATATATCCCAGTGTGTCCAGGACAGACTAGGTTTATGCCTGTGGCCCAACTATAATTATTAATATCTCTCCTTTTCACTCACATATACATCCAGTTTTGGGTTTTGCTTTATTTCATTTTGTTTTTGTTTTGTTTTCACAAAGCAGGGAGAGATCATGTTTGTCTGAAATGTGTTACAAACAGGGACCAGTGTGGGCCCCAGCTGGGTGGGTCATCTGCTTGTTGAGGGCTGCTTTGAGCAAGGCAACTGGTAAAGCCACTGGGGACTGAGGACAAAAGCCCCAATGGGTATGGAAGCACCAGGGATGTCATTGTGGACACACCATAGGGTTGATTGGCTGAGAAGAGGTGGTTGTTCACCCAGGCCAGGCTATTCTTTCCAGAACCAGTGGAGGCTGGTAGGGACTGGTGCCAAGATGGCCTGATTTCATGCCCTCCTCCCAGCTTTGCCCTGCCCCTCAGGCCTCTGGAGAATAAATGATCTGCGCATCCATGGGAAGCCCTGGCTCTCATCAGGTTTGTTCTAGTGGGCACAGCAGTATCAAAATGTCCTTGTTTCTCCTAAGGTCAGTATGTTACATCTTAAGTAACCTGGCAGCACTAGCAACTCCAGAGTAAGCCACTAGTGTGACAGAACATGGTACTTAAATAACCAAAAAAAGAAAACTTATTAGGTTGAGGCAGGAGTTCTTGTTAAATTGACAAAATTATCAAAATTATTTCTTCCTCAAAGTTAGATTACCACAAAGCTTTAATGGAAATGCTTCACCTCAGATAGAGGGAAAAGCAAACTTTGTTTCACATTCACCTTTTCCTCCACACAAGTGAATCGAAAGTTCTAAAACCTTAAAATATATTACCATTGAAGTTCCATCCTATTGGATTATATCTTCACACTTTGGTTCTTTTTCCAATTAATGGTCCATTTGTGAAATGCATATGTAGTTATTTCAGCTCTATATGGCTCATTAGAGAGCCTTCTCAGTGATGGGTTTCATTTCCCTTTGTCTGATATGAATGAATTCATTAAGGACATACTATAAAATAACTAATAAAGTAAATTTTGAACATTTAAAAAGAAGTAATATAGCACAACTTACCTTCCTTAAAAAATAATGTAATCTGTTGTGGCCGTTTTAAAGATTTGAATTCAGGAGAAAATTCTTTACAAGTGGTTTTTATTATAACGTGGAACCTGACTCCTCATTCAAATGTGCATATTAATGTCTAATGCGTATCAGAGTAACTCCTGTGGGAAGAATAAATGTGTTAGACTACGCAAGTATAAAGAAGTAAGAATAAACATGAAAACTGGCAGAGGGTCAGATGGGAGGAACCTCCATTCTATTTATCCTTCCCTGAGTAATTTCCCAGTTTGCAAGAAACTATTGTCCCATTTAAATAGTAGAGCTGATCATGATTTAGTCTGACTTATGAATAAGATCCTATGTAAATGTGTTGCTCATTTGAATTGAATCAATTGAATCAATTGAAAAAATTCAATCCTTTTTTACTTTTACTTTTTCTGTTGTTTCAAGGAGGGGCCAGACTGCACTGATTAAAAAAGGATTTCTTTAGCAAAACTCTCCTACTTTAGACACACTGACGGTTTTAAATTGAGAAACAAAACCCTAGATTTTTCATTGGCAAGCAAAAATTAGTTTTTTTCCTCCTTTTTTAACAATAAGAAATTACAGTAATAAAAAAGTAACTGTCGTAGGTGCTACCTATACATATGAATTATATATGACATATTAAAAGAAAGCCAAGTTGTTACTTGACAAGTTGTGAGACTGCTCACTTGACCACCAACTGTGTACCAAGACCTTGAGATGCCTTTCCCTGCTTTCAACCATAACACATGATTACCAAGGTGTCAACTGCAGGCAAACTCCCTCAAATTCACATAATGCTGTTAGATCAAGCTTCATATCAATCTAATATCTAAAATTCAAGTTAGAACCATATAGACAATAGTAAACAAAACCAGCACATCATCTTAAAGTGCAAAGGTAACAAACTTTTGAAGAAATTACCATTTCCAACTTACATTTTACTGTTTTATTGCTACTGAGTTCAGATAGATATTTTTTAAATGAGTATTTCAGTATTAATGATATGTTCTCTTGTTTTCATATTGTCCAAATCACATGTAGCTGAAAAAGAGAGACATGAGATATAGATGAAAAAAATCTATTATTTTTAGCTACATTCTATGATGGTTATAGAAGAATGTAATAACAAAATACAAAAATGTATTAATAATTCCACGGTTTTTATGAAATGTGCATCAAAACAGACTTCAAAAGTCTAAAGTACACTATAAATAAATAACAAGAAACAATTTTCAATTTGTTCCAGTGGGATTAGGTCTTTAATTGATAGGATGGTGAGTTATAAAATTATAAAGAGTCAATTAAGGAGGGAGTTAAGTTGGCCATTTAAGAACATTAAAAATTTGACAATTTTTTAATCTCTAAATGTGTGTGTGTGTGTTCTTTGTCTTACGTTTCTCATCTCCTCTTTCAGCTATTTACAGCAAGGCATCCAGCCTTAAATAGTCTTGTCAGATGTGAATAAACCACACTCCTAGCAATGCATTACATAACTCTTGCATGGAAGTGTATTTTTAAGATATTTATATTCTGTTCCAGCAAGAAGGCTGATTCATGTATGTAAGCATCAAGGTCAGTTGATAAAGTGGGGTCACTCCTAACAGTAGCCGAGTGGGGCAAGACAGAATGCAATTGGGAAAGTCTTTGTTTAAAAGTAAAAATACATACTAACTTGATATTTTGCTTATAAAAACAGGAAGACAATGGCAAAAAGAAAAGAAAAATGAGTGAGGATTGGGCTTTGGAGTTCACCAAACAGGATTCCTCACATGGCTCTCTTTCCTGCAAGCTCAGTAATCTCTCAAAGGATAATCATTAAAATTAGCTTAAAAAAATAGCTGAACTTACTCCAGGTATTAGTATTAAACAAGGTAGTACAATTATAATATGGCTATATTTACCACACCCGAGAAAGTCGCCAGGTGATTTAGTTCAAGCATCTTAAGTAGAGGGATGTGGCATGAGACATGAGACAGAATTTTCAACCCTCAATTTTTTACTTACAAATGTTCTTGGGATTTGTAGTAGGCAAATGCAGTGGGTGGGTATGAGTTGGCAAAACAATAAAGTAAACAGGAATAAAGCAAATCTGGGGCGTCTAGGTGGCTGGGTCAGTTAAGCATCTGACTTCGGCTCAGGTCATGATCTCACAGTCTGTGGGTTCAAGCCCCGCGTCAGGCTCTGTGTTGACAGGTAGCTCAGAGCCTGGAGCCTGCTTCAGATTCTGTGTCTCCCTCTCTTTCTGCCCCTCCCCTGCTCTCTCTCTGTCTCTGTCTCTCAAAACAAAGACATTAAAAATTTTTTTTTAAAAAGCAAATCTTAGAACAAGCTCTAGCATCTCTCTTGCTGGGCTTATAAAATAGCATAGGACCCTGAACTACGAAGAGGTGAGGTCCCCTCATGAGATACTGACAGGAAGAACTGCTAAGATTGATTCTAGTTAGAGGAAGCCTGGGAAGGTGCACGCAAGTTCAGCAGAGTTTGCAATGGCTCAGTTCTTGCGTGAAACTGGGAAACCTAATAATGACTCCGCACTGATCATTTGGAGGTCCTTTTATTGGCTTTTCCCAGATATCAGGCTTCCTTCTTGGGAAACTTCTTGGGAGCAGCTGTCAAGAGAGTATTCTTTCTGAGAGCCCTCTCCTTTATATGTTTTTTGTCTTAAAACTACACACACACACACACACACACACAGATATTTTCCATATTTCTATAAGTATCTATAGAAATATTTGCTTCTGCCAAAATAGAAGACAATGTATCAAACCCTTTGATCCATCAAATGACGTTTTGTCCTGTGTTCTGTCTATTCTGCAAACCTACTTCTTTCTCATTTCTTTTTTAAAAAAATTTTTAATGTTTTAGTTATTTCTGAGAGAGAGACAGCGTGACCAGGGGAGGGTCAGAGAGAGAGAGGGAGACACAGAATCTGAAGCAAGCTCCAGGCTCTGAGCTACCTGTCAACACAGAGCCTGACGCAGGGCTTGAACCCATGAACTGCGAGATCATGACCTGAGCTGAAGTCGAACGCTCAACCGACTGAACCACCCAGGCGCCCCTCCTTTCTCATTTCTAAGCAAATTCTTTACTCTCTTCTCATATCCTTTAACAAATAGCGCTTACTGGTCCTTAAAATTCAGTATGAATGAAGGAAGATAAATTCCCTTTGGCTTACTATTCAAATCCAACTAAGACAAAGAAATAGTTCCATTCCTCTAATGAAACAAAGAGTGAGAGAGAGAGAAAGAAAGAGGGAGAACTATGAAAATCTATATTCTACCACATATTTACTCAACTCTCCATAGGCCTGAATGCAATAAATATTAAAACAATAGATGCCCTTCTATGTTTGAGAACCCAAACTTTGTTTCACTGGACTGTCATCCAGAACAGAATAGAGCTGTGGTCTTCGCAGTAAATTTCCAAAGTTAAATTCAGACTGCTGTTATTCATAAGTAAAAACATGTTTCTCTATAAGTTTGCATATCTTTTATCTCCCTATCTATCCTGTAACCACAGTACCCAAGTGAATCACAGTTAGAACAAAGCATTACAGTGTGACTTTGAGAGCCTAAAGTGTCCTTGAGTCCTCCACACAGAAGGGTAGCAGTAGTGATAAGGATTTTTAAAGCTCCAAAGAATGAATGAAACTCGGGAGCCTGAAGTATGGACTGCTAGAGTCCTTTCAACCTGTGCTTTCATTTTAGTACAGTTGCCTCTCAACCAAAATCAAAGAGGTAACAGTGAGAATTTATCAAAGCTCTTACCCATCAAATGGCAAGTTTTAGAAAAATCTTTGTACCTCTTTGACACTAATGCTCGAAATTTCTAAAACCATTTGTATGTCTCCCATACATGGGGAAGATAGGTCACTTACTTGATCCCTACTTTCAATGTTTCTGAGATACCCAAGGCTTCTCAATTTCCTTAGACCTTCAGAGCTCTAAAGCTCTGATGGTTCAATGGCCCTGTGTCTCTATAACAGGTCCAAAGGCCCTGTGTCTCTGAAACCAATTTGTTACCACATTCCATTTCTCCCGTGACATCATCTTTGGTAAGTTTTCCTAAATTTAAAGCTCCATCATCCTACTAAGCTATACCAAAAATAAAAAGACTAAAAAATAAAAATAAATAATAAATAAATTTTAAATGAATAAACAAAGCTGCACCACTCTTCTATCCCACCTAATTCATGTTCCATGAAAATACCCACTAGAAAAAGACTAGATTTGAAAAATTCCTGACCAAACTTGATCTTGAAACTCTTGGCCCACTGACAGTACTACCTCATCCCATCTCTTCTGTACCATTGCTTTCCACTAACTCTTCTCCCTCACTTTGTCCACATTTGCTTACAGCATAAAAGTTAGTTCTGACACAAATGTGTTACTAATAAAGACCACATTTATTTTCATTAACAGCCTCTGCCCTCTAGAATTAGGCTCAGATAACTGTCAAGTAAAATTATGATATATTCAAATTTTCAAAAATTATCCACACTCCTCTTTCAACAAGAGATTGAGTGGAGAGTTTGGCAATCTGAGGGTTATACACAATTAGGGTAGAAACACAGGTGTTGCCAAACATTAGTGCTGCAAAATCTCATTTTTTAACAGTATCACCTGTAGCTCTAGAGTGATATTATTTCCTTGTAAGCAAACATTTTTTCAGTTAATCCCATACCAGATCATACCTCTGTCAATGTTTGTAATAAAGGTGAGCAGTTTGTTTTTGGCCCCAGGACGCGCTATAAGAAATAAAATGTGCAACCTCCACTGTGCCTTAGGGAAGCATTTAGACATCTGTACATTTTACACAGTCTTTCCTGTGTTGCTATAGAAAGTATCACCTTGTCTTCCTCTTTAGTAGCTCTGGGGTAATATACAAAGCTGGCTTTAAATTATGAAATGCCAACTGGAGACCTCTCGAAGTATTCTCAAATATAATTCACTTCTTTGGAAATAGCGATTATCAGTTCTTCCAAAATATGATTTAATTATGTACTTACATAAAATGTCATCATCCTAGTACACTTGACATTTTTAACACATATTCTATTCCTGTCATCTATATCAATGACAAATGACAGAATAAAGGCATACTTAAAAATTATATCATCTGAGACATTTTATAT